TTTTTTTTTTTTTTTTTTTTTTTTCCTATTGGATTCACCTTTCTTTCATGATGACAACAAAATTCTGAATCTTCTCATTCTATACATAAAAGTTTGCTCAAGCGAGTATTCAATCATGAAAGACGGAGGGTGTCTGGCCCCCCCTGCGTACAAGCGTAATCGTGGTGGGGGCGCGCGAAGCATGCCCCTGGTGTTTGGGACCCGGAAAGCCAATTCTCACCCTATTTGGCCCTCCCCTTGTGTGTGCGTAATATCATGGCTTGGGAACAAAAACCCACTTCTTGCCCTACGTGGCCCTTGCCACGCGACTGCGTAGTCATGATCTTGGTGGGGCCGCGCGCCCCCCAGCTTTGGGAACAGAACGGCCACTTCCTGCCCTTTGTGCCGCCCCCCCCCCGCCCCCACGCGTGCGCGCAATGATGTTCATGGTGGGGGCAAACGGCCCACTTCCTGCCCTATTCGGCCCTCCCCGCGCGTGCGCGTGATCATGGCGGGCTGCTTCACTGGAGGCAGTACCCGATTGGCTCCATGGTGTTCTCCGGGACATGCACGAAAATGCTCATGGCCGTCGGGTTTTCGGCCTCACTTCTTCTGTCGGATGTAGTTTTTTTCGGGGCCGACACAAATTTAAATGACGATTTTGTCAAGTCATCCTTGACTTTTCTTTCCCCCCTTCTCTTTCTGGAGTGCATGTCCGGTCATGTTCGCCAACACATAACCCCACAACGGACGCACGATAACCCCACAACGGACGCACGATTCTGCCAGACTTCCCGTAGACTTTTCACTCCCACACCGCGGCGTGATCTGAGTCGCTAGGCACAGAAGCTACTTGGCCTTTTCTCTGTTTGTTTCGTCCCTTTTTGTTTTCTTTCTTTCTTTTTTATTTATTTAATTTTTTTTCCCCGGCCCTTCCCCTTATCCTTTTGTGTGTGGAAGGGACAGAGATGGGACGGACTTTTGAGGTGTCGAATTTTGTGGGGGCAGCAGATACCGCACACTGCCACTCGGGCGTAGGAATAGCCCCGAGAAAAGGGGGTCTCCCAGGATCCAAGGTCCAGAGGCATCTTATTGAGGTTCCGAGGGGGACATCGCCATTGGGGTCTGTTCAGTCAGCTTGCTGGAAAGGGACATGTGCAGGTCCCTCGGCGGATGGCTCAGTGAGCACCCTCCGGATGTGCCAAACAGTCGGTGGTTGGCGGTTCGGAGTCCCGTTTGCACTCTTATAGGGGCCTGCGTGCTTAGCAGCCCCCTTGCAGTTGATGAAGGCGACGTTCGGGCGTGGGTTTTGGGACCTTGTACTCGAGTTACGAGGGACTCTCTGCACACGCTTTGGGTGGTTTCCAATTTGCGAGAGACGGGCGAGTCGTTCTTTGGTGGTCGAGCGAACATTTTTGCGGCACCGTGCGGGTCCATGGCCGTCTCTCTCGGAGAGCTTATTTCACGACAGCTCGGTCGTCACTGGCGACGGTCGCGGCTGTCGGGGCTTTCCTATGCCGTGGTTCCGGGTTGTGGATCGTTGCGTTCATCCTCGCTCATCGTTGTACGATGATTGGCGCCTGATCGCCGACGGCGGTCCGGTTGGCGATCGTTTGCAGGGTGTGGAGGCGGAGCTGCCCGTCACCGACTCTCAGCTTCGGCACCATCATCCCGTAGCGGTTGCGGCTTTGTTGTGGTGTTGTCTTCGTGTCGGCACTCACAACGGCGCGTTCCATGTGTGTTGAGGGGGTGTCACGACTTGGTGAGGACGCTCTGCGCTCTTCGCCATCCGAGTGGCGCCATTGAGCGGTGGTGCAGGTGGCCTCGGCCATGCACCCGCTGCTTACCGTATGCGAGGGTGGAGACTTGTGGAATGAGTGATGCACCCTCCGACAGCGTCTCGAGGTTGGGTCCGTCATCCGCCCGACTTGTTGGAATGCATGTTTGTGCCCGTCGTGTCCCCCATCCTGTGGTCTCGGTATGCTGCACACCATGACGGATGGCGTTGCGTTGTGGTTCCACTGCGTTTAGGTTGTGGGCTTTGAAAGCCACTGTCCTCTGTCTCCTGGGTTTCGCCTACGTCGAGTTCTGTTGGTGCTGCCCGCGGCAACAGGCGCATGTGGATCSAGGGGGGAGGGGGGGTGTTCCTTTTGCGCCCCCGTGCACAGGTGGAGGCTTTTCGTCCGTCCTAGCGTGTTCGAAGCGTGGTGCATTCGTTTCTCTCTTCACCCTCGTTTCTCGATGGAGAGATGAGGCGGTGCACTTCGTTGTCGGTACGTTTTGGGCGGGCAGTGGCATCCGGCTGTGGGCCGAAGCGGTAACTGCTGGTTCCGATCTTAGGGCTGCAGCAGTTGCAGAGTTTCCTGCCTCGTTGCTGATTACAGCAGCAGCGGAATTTGCACCTGCCGCAGTTCCAGAGGGGTTCTCCATCACACTCAAGGAAGCAACAAAAGTCGATACGGTAAGAGGGGCAAGATTAGTCTCAATCGCAGCTCTGGAACCAAGGGGTAGAGGAAGAGGGTTGGTTACTTGGGCCTGTTGCAGTGCAACAACCTCTACCATCAAGTCGCGGTACTTGCTGGTCATATCAGTCATATCCTCCTGAAGTGTATTCAATTTTGTGAAGACCTCGGCGAATTGAGTGGTATGATCTTCAAGCCTCCGGACTTGGACGATAGCGGTGAGTATGGACTGCAGCTGTTCCCCACACTGCTCTTTGGTCAGCGAGGGAACAATTTCCAAGATGGCCTCCTGACATTTCAGCAGTTGTTCCTTCCTCTCCTTCTCCGCTTCCTGTTCCCTTTCTATAGCACTATCTAGGAGTGCTTCCAGATATGGTTTCTTCGTATCGCTGGCTGCATTTAATAGGGCCCGCCATTGTCCTGAGGATAGCTGGGCCATTTTCGGACCGTTAGTGTTGGCAAGTGGGTTAGAGAGACGCCAATCAGCAAAAACGTACCGATAGCGAAGTGCACCGCCTCATCTCTCCATTGAGCGGTAACTGCTGGTTCCGATCTTAGGGCTGCAGCAGTTGCAGAGTTTCCTGCCTTGTTGCTGATTACAGCAGCAGCGAAATCTGCACCTGCCGCAGTTCCAGAGGGGTTTGCCATCACACTCAAGGAAGCAACAAAAGTAGATACGGTAAGAGGGGCAAGATTAGTCTTAATCGCAGCTCTGGAACCAAGGGGTAGAGGAAGAGGGTTGGTTACTTGGGCCTGTCGTAGTGCAACAACCTCTACCATCAAGTCGCGGTACTTGCTGGTCATATCAGTCAGATCCTCCTGAAGTGTATTCCCTCTCTCCCTTTTCTCTCTCTCTCCTCTCCCTCTCTTCTTTCTGGTTGCGAGTCTCCACGGGCATCGGAAATGAACTCAGAGAAACAGACCGAAAAGCTCAGAGAAGAGAAGGTAAAACTCCTAGCCGGAGCGACATTTCATTTAGACTTAGAGAGCAGCAAACCAAAAGAAAAACAATCAAATTACACGAGAGGTCTGATCCAGCGACCCAAATTGATCAGACTGCATACCAGTTTCGTGACCGTACAGCAAACCAGACAACGAGTAACTAAATGCAACAATGTTGTGGTGACCAGGTCTACCGCCTCGAGACTGACTATGTCATTCATTAGAGTGAACCAGTCAGTATACCCAATGAAGTCCCTGCCTAGGCGATTAGTAAAACTGATGGGGACTGCGCCCTTGACCACATCCTAGCAAGATTGGTCAGTTAGTTCAAGACCAGGTGTAGCAAACATCTTGCTGAGATAGGTTTGCAGGCTTTTCATGGAGCCCGTTCACTTGCTGCGTTTGATTTTGTCAAGCTGGCTTCTTGCCCTTGCTGCAGCGTGTGGATCCTTATACTGGGCAATGAGGAGCTCCTCGAGGTAGGCAACCGGGGTGGCCTTAAGCCACCTTGTCAGTTCGATCTTTGGAACCCCAACCCGCGTAGCTTGGACTTCTAGGAAGCCCCGTACAACCGGCTCGACATTTATTCACATGATCGCTGGCCGGGTCTCTGGCTGAGTCCCCAACACCTCGAAGTAAGCCCTCATGGAGCTGATCCTGGATTCAATGTCTTCTTTGCCGTCGTACTTAGACGGTATTTGCACCGCCTTCCGGTCCACATGGGGGCCAGTGTAGTTGGGACCAGCAACTGCTGGTTCCGATCTTAGGGCTGCAGCGGTTGCGGAGTTTCCTGCCTCGTTGCTGTTTATAGCAGCAGCGAAATCTGCACCTGCCGCAGTTCCAGAGGGGTTCGCCATCACACTCAAGGAAGCAACAAAAGTAGATACGGTAAGAGGGGCAAGATTAGTCTCAATCGCAGCTCTGGAACCACGGGGTAGAGGAAGAGGGTTGGTTACTTGGGCCTGTCGCAGTGCAGCAACCTCTACCATCAAGTCGCGGTACTTGCTGGTCATATCAGTCAGATCCTCCCGAAAAGTCTTCAATTTTGCGAAGACGTCGGCGATCTGAGTGGTATGATCTTCAACCCTCCGGACTTGGACGATAGCGGTGAGTATGGACTGCAGCTGTTCCCCACACTGCTCTTTGGTCAGCGAGGGAACAATTTCGAAGATGGCCTCCTGACATTTCAGCAGTTGTTCCTTCCTCTCCTTTTTCGCTTCCTGTTCCCTTTCTATAGCACTATCTAGGAGTGCTTCCAGATACGGTTTCTTCGTATCGCTGGCTGCATTTAATAGGGCCCGCCATTGTCCTGAGTATAGTTAAGCCATTTTCGGACTGTTAGTGTTGGCAAGTGGGTCAGAGAGACGCCAATCAGCAAAAGAATCAATTAGACTCTCAAGAGGTACACTCCCCTTTTCACTTGGACGGACACTCCTTTTCCCAGTCCTTACCCACTCCAGACGGTCACTTTCCCTCTCTCCCTTTTCTCTCTCTCTCCGCTCCCTCTCTTCTTTCTTGTTGCGAGTCTCCACGGGCATCGGAAATGAACTCAGAGAAACAGACCGAAAAGCTCAGAGAAGAGAAGGTAAAACTCCTAGCCGGAGCGGCATTTGATTTAGACTTAGAGAGCAACAAACCAAAAGAAAAACAATCAAATTCACACGAGAGGTCTGATCCAGCGACCCAGTCTGATCAGACTGCATACCAGCTCCGTGACCGTACAACAAACCAGACAACGAGTGACTAAATGCAACAATGGAGAATTGAGTGGTGTACAGGGTGGGAGTCAAGCCACGGACAGTGCAACCAAAAGACATGCGAAACGTCCCGACCGAGATCCCCTCGGCGGTGGGTGTCCTAACCAAGAAGAAAGAACTCCGTAACAAAGTCAGAAGACAATGTGCTAATGCCTAACCGATTTGGGACCAAAGGGCTCTTCTTGTTTGGGCCCGGTCCCACTTGGTTCCAGAGGTCCCACGTAGGTCGCGGCCAGGTCCCAACCAAGAGCAGTCCCTCATGGGTTCAGTTTCTACTGTATTGGAAAAAACGACATTTCAACTTCCGGCAGAACCTACAGACTACAACCGTTCAGAGATGAAAGACAAAGCAATGTAGAAAGACTCGGCATTTAGATCAAGATACTTCATTTTCCATCCATAAGGTGAGTAGGTAGATCACATGAATCAAGACCACAAAGGAGTAGTAAAAGAAACCCAGAGTAACCCCAACAGGACAAACCATACCATGCACACACACATGGGCATCCCGTAGGTGCACGGCACTTACCTGAGTGGCTTTGAGCTCCGAGATGAACAGAACTCACCCCCCTCTCATATGATCCTCCTGACCCCTCTAACACTACCCCTACACTAGTGTCCTATCTCCTAGGAGGGTCTGACTCCAACACCAAAGTGCAACTCCGGATCCCTCGTCGATGTTGAAGAACAAAGCAGCAACTTGCAGTCCGTAGATGCTGAGTGGCCGCTGACCCTCAAGCTCGCCTACTTGAGGGCAACCCTTAAGTTGCCAAGTGTCTCCCTTGAATCAGATTCCAGGTGCGAGTGCCTCTCACTGTCGCCTCTCTCAAATGGCCGCATAACGTCTCCTCGAAATGTCTCGCCACCCTAATCTCACTCTCAAGCAATCTGGTTGTGTTCAACGTCGACCCTCCGTGACCTAACCAGGTGGGGACAACTTCCCTCAACCACACTGCCCCTCTTCCCTTCACGAACCAACCCTAACCCTAAGTGTTGCCCTCAACCACTTAGTTTAGGGTTAGGGAAGCAAAGTCAAATCCGCTCCGATACCAATGTTATGATCCTGAACAATTTTGAGATACACATCCATCAGATAGTACAATGTCGTCCAATTGCAAAACGAAATGAATGAACTTGAGAGGAGAGAGAGGATTAGAAGAAGAAGAATAAGTAAGAAAGAAGAAGACGATGATGTACACCAGCATAGACAAATGACAAGGCTCTTCTTCTTCGCCCAACAATCTCCTCCTCGTTATCTCCCCCTTCTCTTATTCATACAAAAAATAATAATACAATGTTGAATGGCTGATCCAGAATCAATGTTCGAGTTCCTCTTCTACTGCAGGTATCACTTGAGGTCCACCATAGCCATGGCCGCCCCTCCCATTCTTCACTCTCATAGGTTGGGGCTATGGCGGACTACTAGGCCTTGCCCAGATGCCCAAAGGACAACCCAAAGCATATATGGATGCTCTAGCTCAGGCCGCCATGCCCGACCCTGCCTCAAAGCTTCTTGGTGTAGCTCCCCCAGTTGGGGACTCCCTGCTGCAGCGCCCACCAAGGTGATGAAGATGGCTGCCACCATAGCCAGGTAAGTACCCCTGGCGCTCCTCCCCCTTCTTGTCCTTCTTCCTCCTCCGTGTCCTTCTCCTTCCCCCAGCAGCGCTGCTCTTGGATAGCGCTGCTCCAACTGGCGCTCCAACCAGTGTGTTGCCAAACTTGCACACCGAAAAAGAGGTCGGGCTCTTCGCCCGACTGGGAGATATAGCGGCGTACTTGCTTCTTCGGGCAGTGACTTCCAGGCCGCTCGGCCTTCCAAGCAACCGGTACCTCCTCCCTTTCATAGGGAAACATCATTGCAGACTCCGATATTGCCCGTACAGGCCCTAGACCCAGACTGGTTGGAATGGTATCCGTCTAGACCTAACCTACAACTATTGGGCCTCTAAAAATGCCACTTTTGTCTTTTTCTGCTCGGCCTCCAGTACGCGCACATCTACCCCTTCAGGGTGCGGTACCGGCCTACCCGCTACTTGAGTGTTTTTCCTGCTGCAATCCCTCAATGTCACGGCCACAGGTAAGGACCGACCTTGAGGGCCCAGTGAACGAGCAAGTGCCCTTGTGGGCCACACACACATTCAAGCCAACCAGCACTCGGACAGGCACGACCACACACACACTCAAGCCAATCAGCACTCAGACAGATATGCAGTCCAACAAGCCTGCACACACAAACTTAGTAGCAAGCGGGAAAATCACCAGGGCATTCAGTCTATGGGCAAACTCAGAAATCTGTTGTGTTTCAGTCCATGTTTGAACGGGTCATCACACTACTCCCCCCTCAAGAGCAAGGTCTCTT